GGCTCCCTGCGCTGTGGGGGTCACGGCAGGAGGGGGGATGTCTCCTTGGGGTCCCGCACGTGCTCTGCTGCTGAAATAACCAGCTGAGCACCCCCACAGTGCAGGAATATGCCCAGGGAAATGCTTCCAACTGTGCCGTGATGGATGCCTGGGAAACAGCAATGCCGCCACAGCATCCGCTGTGTCCTCCCCCACTGCCTGGCGCCCTTGGCCACCCAGGCAAAGCCATGGTGCTGGCAGATTGTCACTGTCCTTGCTGGTGGTGGCCCAGGGATGCGGGGACAGGCAGCTCCTCATGAGCGGTCCCTCTCCTCCAGCCCAGGGGGAGGAAGGTGAAGCCCATGCCAGGAGAATAGAATGTCAGCTGTGCTGTGCAGTCCCTGCCACGCAAGGATGGGGCAGAGGAAAAGCTCTCCAACCCTTATTCTCAGCTTGGATCCCAGCCCTTTTTCCCTTCTTTCCTTCCTTCCTTTGCACAAAGGGAAAAAAGCACCTTCCAGGTGATGCAGGACTGGAGCTCAAGGCTCTGGGAGGTCTTGGGTTGCTCCTGGTCTGTGCTGTAATTGATTTGGGGTAGGGCTGGAGCAGTGGGTTGGCAATCGGACACGCATCAGCCGGGCCACCTCCAGGAGCAGCCTGTAGCTGGGGTGACAAGCTGCAGAGCTGGGACCCCAGAGAGACCTTCCTGCTGCTTACCTACCCCCATTACAAGGCCCTCTGAGCCCCAGTTCTGCCTTCTGCCCACTGCCCCTCATTTGCTGGGAGAGCCTGGGGGTTCTCCATCATTTAAGTAAGCCTGATGCTGCTCCCCAACGCTGAGCAAAATGGGCAGGATCCCGGCACGGCCATTATTTGCCAGCCCCTGCCGTGGCAGCGCTGTACCCCTTGGTGTCTCCCCTGCGTGGGATTCCTGGCTCTGTCCCCAGGCACATCCGTGGCAATCACCCTGAGACTGCCGGGCAAATTAACATGGGTGAGTCAGCGGGATGCTCCGGTGCTCCAGGCAGCGCTGGAGATGACGCTTGCTGGTGGGATGGTGATGGCTGATCTGGGGTAATGGCTCTGTGGGACATGGCAGGGTAGAAAGGAGTGAAGGAGGCTGACAACCTTTGGGAAGATGCAATGGAGGCACGGGTCCCTGCGCCAGGTGCCTGCGACGCCCAGAGGTGCCCAAGAGGCGATTGCCAAAAGCCACAGGCTGGTGCCGGTGCTGGTGCCAGTGGCCGGCAGTGATTCAGGGCCAGTGCCAGGCAGGTGAGGATGAAGCGGCAGCAGCCAGCTCCCGAGGAGGTGACCTGGCACGGATCTGCCCTGACTCCCCGCTGAAGGACGTGCAGCTCCAGTCACCCACGGTCACGCGATGCACCTGCTTCTGCCTCCGGTTGCCCGTGATTTTCTGCAGCCATGCCAGCACATCACCCTGTGGGTGGCTACGGGTCCCCCTCTCCCCGCTCCGAGGGCATGTGTCTCCCCAGAGCAGCTCGCTCCTGGGCAACTCGTCCCCTCCTGAGCTGTTGCCAGGTTTTGTGACCCCCCTTTCGCCCAGACGCACGGTCCCACATGGCCACGGGGCTCCACTGGCAAAGCACCACGGCTCAGATCGGTGCGGACCACGGGCAGGGGTGCTACACCACCAGTGTGGGCGCAGGACTGAGACCCCGGGGGACGGCCCCTGGGGGTACACAGCCCCTCTCTGTTGCCTGCTTCTTGCCAGGCAGGGAGCTGATGCCTGGTGTCACCCCGACTGTGCAGGGCACCCAGGGGTGCCCAGCTCAGCTCTGCCCGCTCCAGTTGCCTGTTTGTCCTGGACCCTGGGCAGGAGAGCCGTGGCTGTCTGGGACTGAGCTACTGGGGGAGCAAAGAGCCATAACCCACCTGGGATCAACCTTTTGAACTGAAATAGGGAAAATAAGGGGGCTTATGCATCCCCTGCCTAGCACCCAGCAAACACACAGGGTGCTCGAAACCCTGAAACCCAGTAGGAAGGCATGGGAGTGATCGCTGCTTAGAAAGCAGACTTGGCTTTTATTTGATGGGTGTCTCAGGTTATTATTTGCTGATGATAAACAAGTGTTTTAAAACAGGGGAAATAGGTGCTGATGTCTTTTTGTTTTGCCAGCCCTTTGGCAGAGGAGGAAGAAGATGAATCAGCCCTCACCTGCCCTGGGAAGCCATTCCCAACCGCTCCTGGTGTGCATAGGCAAAGCCTTGGAAACCATTTGTGAGTGAAACTGGATTGGTAGGGTGACCTCATGCTGTGGAGGCTTCTTTTTTGGTGTTTTTTTTTCCCCCAGAAAAGGGTGAGCAAAGACTCATTCTGATCTGAGCAGCAGACATGAGCTAAGCCCATCGTCTGCTTTCCCTCCTCGCTCCTTCCCCAGGAGCTGCCCCCATTTTCCTGCACCCTGATCACACCTTTGGGAAAATATATCCCAGCTGTTGCTTCTCCAGATCCTCAGCTATGGGCAAAGGCATGCTGTGTCTCCGTTGACAGGGGTAAATGTCCTCCTTGGTGGGCTTTGCTGGCCCATGGTCACGTCTGTAGCAATAGAAATGCCCCTTGGGCGAGGGCCGGCTCGCAGCGGGAAGGGGATGAGCAGATTTTCATTAAGCAGGAGTTGCACCCCGTTCATTACTGCAATGCTTTCCCAACCCCGCCGCATGCTTTGATGTGGGCTGTTTGGGAGCTGCCTTGCAACCCAGCCGGCTGTGCCAGGGCTGGGACTCCCAAGCCCAGGTTTCTGAGCCCAGCTCATCCACCAGCTCATCCTATTGCTCCCGGGCAAGGGCTTGAAATTTATTCCGTATTTCTTATCTGGAAATGAGCTATCGATATTACCTTCCAGCAGCACAGAGAGGGTGGTGATTTGCTAATTATTTATTCTTAAAGGGAAAGGGGAAAGGAAGAAATGCTGAACCCATGTCGTGCAATTGTGTCCAGGAGGGTGAGCCTGACCCTGCAAACTCCCTGCAGGTTTTGGGGTGTGCATCCTGAGGGGTGGGGACCCCAGCATGAGCCCCTGCCTGGCGGTGCGGGGTTTTGGGGCCGGGTGATGTGTGTTTGGGCATGTCTGGAAGATGAAAGGGCTGATTCCTCTTTTGATCATGAAATTCTCATACATGTTAATGGGAATTACTTTGAGGTCTAACGAGGGCAGAATTGCAGCCCCCAAGGGGAGGATGGGGGGGGTGAGGACCAACTGAGCTTTGGCTGGGAAATAAAAGGGCTCGAATTTACCTTGTTCCCCACCTGCGAGAGCGGAGTACGGGTGCGTCAGTGGCTGCCCCACATCCCCGCAGACCCTCCCGGGAAAGGGGGTCCCCGGGTGCCCCCCCCACCTTGCCCAGCACTGCTGGCACCCGCACAGACAGGCTTTAAGCATCACCTTAATGCTGGGCGTCATTTTAACTCCCACATCTAATGCTTCCCCAGTGCACAATTTGGGTTTTCTTCCTTTTCTTTGTGCTCCCCCCCCCGCCCCATCTTCCCTTTTAGCATCTTTCAGGTTCCCACAGACTTCAAACTCACCTGCTCCAACTACTCGCCGCCTCCCCTGGCTGAAACATGACCTGAAGTTTCCAAGTATCGTTACCTTGGGCGTATTTAATTATTTT